GAGTACCTACTAAACAAGTTAAGCTACAACATGAACAACAAGATGTTAAGGTGGCTCAGACTTGCATATCATACTCGTGGTTAGAGTGCCAAGAACTGAAAGTATCACAAATTCTAGAAGTTTTGCCCCACTGAACTGGAAAATGAATGACCTAACCTAAGCACAGATAAATCAATACGAACACTTTGATTTGCACTGCATTACTTACTTGCTATTAAATAACAGAGGCATTCAACCTGCCTCTGTTATCGAACTTTAGTTTGATAGTTCTCCAATTATTCTATAAGTAAATCTATCCGTGAAGGGATGATATCACAATTCTAAATGACTACAAAGTCCATCTGCTTCCCTAAGTGGCTGTCTTTCTGTCAGCTCGCTGGAACCATCATGGGTTAAATTTTGTCAAATTTGATGTCCAAACATGTTTTGAAATGTGGAAGGGGATTAATAGGTGAAAGATATTTTAAAATACTGGTTGAGTGGGTAGAAGCAGGTACCTTGATGAGAATATGGAATGTGGTTTAATTACTTTGCTCTGTTCGCACATGTTAAGTGTGTACATTGTTTAAAACCACCTGTAGAAACAGGTCTATGAAGTTTTGTGTTGTACAGTGCATAACTTGTTTCAGGTAACAACACAAAGGAATTAGTCACTTCATTAACTTAAATGAGCTATGTAAGCTTCATTAACTAAAATGTACTATGTAAGATTTATTATGAAATTAGAATTTAACATGTGTGTCTCTTTGGAAATAATTAAATTTTAAAATGTGTGGCTTCAACTATCTAACTAATGCTTGTGGTAGGAAAACTATATCCTTGAAAACAAAATCTATATGGCCTTTAACAAAAAATATAGCTGGGCATGGTGGCGCACGCCTGTAATCCCAGTACCTGGGAGGCTGAGGCAGAAGGATTGTTGTGAGTTCGAGACCAGCCTGGGCTACAAAGTGAGCTCAAGGCCAGCCTGAACTGCTGAGCTACAACCCTGTCTCAAAAAGACAAAAAAAAAAAAAAAAAGAAAGAAAAAAAGAAAAGTATACTGGTGACTTTTGCTTTTACAAATTACAAATCAGATGGTTATACAGATAAGCAACACTAGGTTTGGAACCACAATATATTGAAAAATAGTTTTGGAAAATAAAGTTCAACAAGTCATTCATAAGGGGGCATTATAAACAAAAACTCATCTTAAATATTTTGTAGAGTGGAGTGTACATTGAACAACTATGTAAATAGAGACTGTAATGACAGCAACACTAAACAGTGCTGAAAGGATAAAAGGGACTGTTTCCAAGGGGTTGTTAGAGGGTATTTGATCAGGACATGAAAAGAAGGACAGGAATAGCGAGATTCCAACAGAGAGAGCATGCCAGGAGCATAAGCCAGAAGGTATGTAATTCAGGGCAAGTTATAAAAACAGTCCCACATTGAAGCAATTGACAAAATGTGTAAGTCTGCGACAGATGGTGGGTTGCTTTGAATGTGAGGCAGAGCTTAGAACCTTTTAGTAGGAGTTCCCTGAATCTTTCCTCAGGATAGTGATAATGGACTTTGGGATAATAATTCTTTTTTTATATATCTTATTTAAGAAATTTTCTTTTCTATTTTAAAGATAAAAGAACCAAAACGTATTAACAAACACACAGACAAAAACAAAACAACATAAAACAATAAAAGCAATACAGAATTTCAGACATGGCAATAGAAAATTAACAATCGTTATTGTATTTCATACTATTATATTCAAGTTGGTTACGCAGATGAACAAATACAGGCATGTGAGAGTGTTCAAACAATGAAACATTAACTGTTCCTTCTAAAAAGCAACAGAAATTAACAGGAAAATTGTCTTAGCTCTCTTATGTATACATATACGCATCTTTCCCTTGTCTTTTCCCTCATCCCAGTGGTTCTTTCCTTCTGAGCAGTTGCTTTCCCTTTCACAGTATCTACTGTAAATAACTCTTAAAGAAAGGAATGGAGGTCAGAATGACAAGAGGCTGGTAAGATACTGGAAAAACTTAGGTGAGAGATACTGTGAGAACCAGGGTGGTGCCAACTAGAAGGAAATTGGGAGGGTCTCAAAGGAAGAAACAAAAACTGACTAGAACAATGAGGAAGAAAAGAGTAACATCTATTTTGTGGTTTTGAGTGTGAAAACCTAGGGGTAAGTTTTGAAGCCACAAATTTCTCAACACCTCTCCCATAGACAGTTGGGCTCTAATTCTCTTCCCCTTACATCCAGAACTGTCCTTAGTGAAATGTGGAAGAAGTGTCCTCAAAGAATAGGTCAGAAAACAAGCTTCTGCCTTGTTCTGTAGAATACACGATCTGATGTACCTGTAGGCCCTGTAACCTGCAGTTCAGAGTGGACCTTACATTGACTTAGCCTAGAATAGGCACAGACACGCGAGTTTAAAATCTGCAGGTCCTTCCAGCATTGATCAGTTTTAACAACAAAACACAGATGGAAGGATAAGTCCCAAAGAAACACATTATTTGCCTTTCAAATCTGGTACTCCAGGGACTGGGGATTAAGCTCAGTGGTACAGTGCCTGCCTGGCAAGCGCAAGGTTGTGAGTTCGATTCCTGGTACTGGGAAAAAAAAAAAAAATTGGTACTCCTTAGCATGCAGAATCATTTATCTCAAATACCTGGCTGAATATATGCACTGTTTTGCTCCAAAGGTTTATGTGGTAGAGGCTGGGTCCTCAGTATATAGTGCTGAGATGGTAGCATCTGTAAGACATGGGATCTACTGTGAAATAATCAGGTCAGTGGGGGCCACTACCCTTACAGTGATTAAGGCTGATCACCTAGATAACGACAGCAGGTAACTATTAATAAGACCCCCCAATGTGCTTGGCACCCTTGGCAGACGACCATTTGCCTTCCCACTTCTCTGCCATGTTCTGTGGCAGCCAAGGCACTCACCAGAGACCGTACTTGCGGGGTCATCAAAACTTAAGATTTTTACCTTCCAAGATTATAAGCTAATTAAACCTTTTTGCTTTGTAAATCACCCATCCTTGGTTGCGTCATAACAAAATCAAACTATTATAGCAGGTAAGCTGGACACTGGTATAAAGCAGACAGTTGCTCCACAGCACTTACATGCCCCTCCCCAGATAGTCCTATGACCAGCACGGTGCACAGGCACGACAGCGGGACTCGGGTGTTCAGGGCATTAGCAGGTGCGCCTGGTTTAACAGACGCAAAACAGACATCAATTCGAAATTCACTTACCCTTGAATGCCTACATAGGCACAACTGTTCACAATATGTTCTCTAGAAGTATCATTCACATATAAAACTTCATAAAGTTTGGAGTACTGATAAATCTATAGAACCTAGTAACCCCTACCACTATCAAAATATAGAACGTTCTAATCGCTTCAACAACATATTCTTTTATTTCCTTTCACAATTTCCCATCTTCAGCCTTTGGCAACCATTGATCTACTTTCCAAATTAAAGCTTTCACTTTTTAAGGTTTTTACTTATGCATCATATATACTTTTATGTCTGGCTTCTTTTCCGTGCACAGTGGTTCTGATGTTTGTATGAGGCACTGCATTTATCAATGAGTAATTCTTTTGCACTGCTGAACAGTGTTTCATTGTACGTACGTATCACAAACTGTTTACGCATTCATCTGCTCACGGTCACCTGAGCGGCTTACTTTTATCTATTAGGTATGAAGTTGTTATGAATGCTCAATCTTGGTACATGAGAGGCTGAGTTCGAGTCACTAGGGCAACATACAGAGACCCTGACTCAAAATAAAAAATACAAAGGGTGTAGCTCATTATGAAAGCCCGGAGTTCAGTCCCAGATACAAAAAATAACCAAACCAAGAAAACAAAACTACTACGAAAACTGAGTACAGATCTTTTTTTTTTTTGGTCTGTTTTTTGAGACAGGGTTTCACTATGCAGTTTGAGCTGGCTTTGAACTCACTTTGTAGCCCACGCTGGCCTCGAACCCACCGTGCCTCGAACCCACCGTGATCCTCTTGCTTCAGCCTCCTGAGTGCTGGGATTACAGACCTACACCACCACTCCTGTTTCTTTATATTTCTCTTCAACACCTAGAAATGAAGGACTATGATTTGTGTCCTGGGAAGTATTTGTGTTTTCCTGTATCATTTATCCTCCCCCAAAAGAATACAAACACTTCTTATGTTATTTTATTTCATAATAAAATTTATTAGTGGATCTGCTATAAACAGGTAAAGAATTCATCTATTTTTCCGGTACTTAAAAGAGCCACATATAATCATATATGTCCAACATATTTCACAGTAATGCTTAAAAATATATAGGACACAGTTTCTTACAAACTTCAATAAATCATAAATCAAGTAAAGTAATACATTCACATTATTATATGAATAAACAAGTCATATATTAAGAAATCTGTTTTTTTCTTAAGAACAAAGAAGTTACAGAATCACTAATCTGAATTTCTCATTTTCCAAATGACAAACAATTCCTAAATTCAGAACCTAGGATTGTTCTTAGTCAAAACTTCCACATAGAAATGTTTGGAATAGAAAACTCTAAACTATCAGAATCCTGGGACATAAGCTTTCATTTTCAAAAGTACTGAGAATTCCAAGATTAACAAATTATTCCACAAAAATTACAATTACAACTTCAGTGTTCCTTTTCTGAAGGAATTTTTTTTTTGGTTCCAGGAAGTGAACTCAGGACCTTGTGCTTGCCAGGCAGACACTGTGCCACTGAGCTATATCCCCGGCCCTAGTTGTTTGTTTTTTAAATGACAGTGGTGTCACTAGAGTTAAAATCTGTAAGAAATCACTGAATTGTAGTACATGCAGAGATAAGAAAATTTCAATTGGCTCCAAATACCTATCATTATAAAAACGAATATATTACAATATTAAGGCCTCTAAAGAAAAATGATTAGAGACAACAATATTGAAAAAGTACAGGGGCTGGGGATTTAGCTCGGCGGCAAAAGCGCCTGCCTGGCAAGCGCAAGGTTGTGAGTTCGGTTCCCAGTACCGGAGAAAAAAAAAAAAAAAAAAAAAGAAAAAGTACAAATTTTACCTTGAAATTCCTTTCTAAAATTGCCAAGAAGTCTCAACTTCACTGCATTAATAAAGGTAAAACATATCCCATGACGGATTTCTGTGCCAGAAACTAAAACTTTAAAAAATAAAAAAGTGAAATGATGAGTTTCCAGGTACACATTATAGCCTTTATATTCCCTTATGTTGATAACTTGGAAACAATGTCAAATTCTGTAAACTAGTCCTATGAAATGATTCTAAAAATATGAATTCCACATTAACTAACTCTGAAAACCTGCCATCCCATGACACATCACTAAAAGCATCCAGAACATCTTACCAGAGGACAGGGCAAGAGGGGGCCAGAGGGCAGGACCAGAGCACTGAGGCACAGAGAACTAACAGCCACACAGCGGCAACAGTGTCCTCCAAACCCCACACAGCGCTCTGCCTGCATCAAGGCACCCAGTCCCTAGGATGGCGCAGAACGTCCAGAATTTCAGCTTCTTTAGAATTCTCTGAGGGTGAATGCATGTACTCCCATCTATGCAAGTCCAAAGCAGAAGGGAAAAAAATATAAATAGTAAGACGTGATAACAAATGACATTCTTTTCTTAACTCTTAAAATAAATGAAGAAAAAAATCCTAAGAGTAAAGCAAGTCTTATACCGCTGTCTCTGCTATACCTGACTTGCCTTGCACTGACTAGACCTTTAAAAAATATTTGCTGCTGAAAAAAGAAGTTTCATACTAATGCTTCCACACACTTGGGTTAATATTAATATCCAGAGCTAAAATACTCTACTGTAAATGAGAGCTGCATAAAGTGTAGGACTTCGGATGATCCATAGGTAGATGTTAGCATAATTCTTACACGTAATCTGGCACTCTCCAACACCACCTCTGGCTCCTGTATTTTCTTGCTGTCACACAAACCTATGTCATACATCTTGTCAGCCTTTCTAAAACCCAATTTAATTCGTCTGAATTATCCACCATAATTTTTCATAAGGTCAGCAAAATCTAAACCGAAGAAGTCTTAGGTAAGATATGCCAGTGTTAATATTCATGTTTTGTGGGGATGAGGGACTGGAATAGACAGACAACTGCTATGATGAGTTTTTTCCTTACCTGGCAGTCAGAGGTAAAGACATCAAGATGCTTTCAATCCTAGATCCTGGAGTAAACAGGCCAAACTTTGTTCCTCGATCATATAGCAGATTAAATTCTACATATCTGAAATAAAGACATCAGAAAACCTAAAGGGCCTGCTAAGAAAAATCTTTCAAAAGTCCTTAGCAAATACTTAAAAGGGGCATTCTCCTCGCTGCCCCTGTCAGCTGGACCTTGCACAGACTACATCAGCTCAGCTTTCTCCATCTGGACAATGAATGCAAAATAAATAAAGGGGTATTCTACCCACCAAACAATAGGCTAGATTATGGCTCAACATACAGCAGTTCCTAAACAAGAGGGTTATGTGTTTCCATAAATAAACAGAATGAACATCAAGCTGAGAACTTTAAGGCACAGAAACAATTTTAGAAAGAAATGGCATCTTTTTGGAGTAGATGACACATAGCTCCTCCTGGTCCTCTTGAGAGTAGAAGATTTTATTTTACTACCTAGAACGCACACTACTAGTATGAACACAGCGTAAAACTTCTCTAACCGAAGGCCAAGTATAGCCAACAGCAATCTATTAAGAACGGACATTTGGAACTCATTCACAAATATCATGGCTGAAAATAACTCACCCAGCTAACTCACCACAGTGAATGCAAGAGAAGGGGGCCAAGGTGAGCATCACAGTTAAGTACAAACTACTTCCCCTACTTAAGTGCCTTTGTGTACTGGAAAGACTAAGTTCTGTGCTCACTTCGATTTAGTTCACTACCTGGGATCCTGTATTTGCCAACTATGTCATACTGGGCAAGGGACTTGCCTTTATACATTTTATTACCTGGAACACTGACATGTACCCCTATTTCACAGGTTTGGTGAGACAAAGGGATGCAAAATGCCTGCATGGGGGCTACACATAGGAAGTGCTCCAAAAGTACTAAGACTTATTACTAAATGTAAATAATTCCTGCAATTGTTTTTATTACAACTGTTGCATCTCTAAAGAGCACGATTCTGAAATTTACAAATCACCAAAAAAATTAAATAATGCCCACAGCTTAGCATTGTGTGGAGGGCACTGCCTGAAGACTAACTAAAAGAAGTAAGTGGAACTGAACTCAGCAATCACTACATGTCTACCGTGACGAACTGACTAAACTTGATTTTTGGAATAAAGTATTCTATACAGAGTTTTTAATTTCTTTTTTAATATTCCTCCAGCTATAGAAGTAGTGTGCACATGAACATGATTACTGTAACGCTGCCTGAGACAGCACACCATTAGAGTAACTGCTCTACTTCCCAGTTATGAAAAGAGACAGTTTATTTTCCTGTCACCCACCGTCCTCGTCTGAGCTGCTGCCACAGCTTCTCCTGGGGTGTGAATGAGTCCTCACAGTGCTTTTTTACAAGGGGAATGTAAGAGGGCACCACAGCCTGGGCACAGCTCTGCACGAAGCGGAACACCTCCTCCTTGGACGGCGAGTCAAGGTCATCAAAAAAGATGCCACCGATGCCCCTCCGCTCCCCACGATGGGTTATAAAAAAGTAGTCATCACACCTGGAAAAGCAGAAAACTCAGATTAGGGACGAAAGGGGAGTACAAAGACACGGAAATCAATGTGGACCTTGACGCTCAGAGTAGTCTCCTCGACTAATGCCAGGACAGTGTCTTCACTTTGTGTCCAAGTATGAAATCGAAACTTGGACTTCACACACATTGTCTGCACACACAATGAATGTAGAAGATGCTTACATTCGTATCTGCAAAGTAATTTAGGCATTCATTGAGATCTACCTAAAGGATATAGACTCTCAGAACTTTAGGGAAAAGAGCAATAGAGTTCAAGGTTTTTAGTGTAAATCTTGAAATAAATGAAGCTGCTTCCCTTGAAAACACTGCTGCTTTCGTAAGAGGCAGGACGATTAGTCTTCTAGGCATGACACCAACCAGAAATTAGCTATTTACCGAAGAAGGTACTGCAAACAACCCCCAGCTATCTCTCAGCAGTAAAATATGATGATCCATAGCAGGCACAACGCAGGGAAGGGCTAGTACAAGACAATATTCTGAGAATACGTCTTGAAACATATTAAGGCTTACCCTCATGAACCAGCACACGAAACTACCAATTGGTTCTTGAGTCTTTTGCCTTCCATATCTGTCAAAACAGGCTTCCTAAGAAATCCTCCACAAAATGCTAAATTTGTAGAATAGTTTACAACCTGGAAATAGTTCTTTTAATGATCTCTATGGTAAAAATCCCTAAACAGAAAAACTTGTTCAAATAAATGCTTTCCTTAAAAAAAAAAAAAAAAAAAAAGCACCTTAAGCTCAAGCTTAAATTCAAAAGAAAAAAAGAAAAAAAAAAAAAGACACCAAAACACTAAAACTGACACGTCAGTATAAATCACCTCAGGTGTAACATGTTGCCTTTCCTTTACATGTACATCCAAAAAAGTATACCCTGAACAGCTTGAAAACTCCCCTTTAATCCAAGTCACATAATTTCGGTATTTCTCTCCATAATGTTATGAAATTGACAACTTTATGAAATACACTATTTCTTTGAAAGAGACACATCTTAAATATTTTATTAACTAACACTGCTAAACCTTATCTCAGTAACTATGAGAAACCAAAAAAGGGGACCATGTACCCTACTAGTCCACCTCCTACTAGGTTGCTGAGCTGTGAAAGAGCGAAAAACCCTACATTTTACACATACTGACCCACAGCCTGTAGTTCTCACCATAATAGTAAATCAAGAAAAACTATGCAAATATTTTATCTTTTTTGAGGCCCTTAGAGGTGAGCTGAATGCTTTTGCACAGATAAGATCAACATTCCACAATTATTAGCTCCGAAAACAAAGCAAAAAGATAAAACCCTTTCTGTTTTTCCCTTTTTAAGAATACCAATTAGCTTTGAGCAGAACTGAGTTCTTTATTCTTATTTCAAACAACTTATACTGGGAATCACTGTGATTTTTAACAAGTATACTGTATTTCTTCACAACTTGTGGCTTTTCTTATTCTATCATTAGAATTTCATTTAAAAAATCTTCACTACCACTGTTCTTGTCTAAAATCTCTGGAACATTAATATCTCTCCCTAAAGATTCTCTAACCATCCCTATACCTTCACACATTCTCAAATCAACATCAGGACAGTAACTCTTACCTGGGATGAGAATTTAACATTTCACCTTAGGATAGATACCTGAGTCTTTGATTCTCAGGCACTAATCATCTTATAGTTTATATTTAAACATTCTAAAAATTTGGAATCAAAAAAGATGATGCTACACAATATATATTACAGACATCCAAATATTCCTAAGCAAATTATTTAAGCCATTTAAAACTGCTATTCTATGTCTTCCACTGAACAAAGTAAGAGTTCAGTCGTTATAAGCTGACAAAGGTACTCAGTGACATTACATGTAGCTGCTTTGAAGACACACAAAAGGAAAGGGAAATCCTCCATTATGAAGCATTCAATACCTTTACCTACCATTTTTTAAATTTGGGGTAGAGATCTGGACCATGTTGGTCACAAGCCTCCTTTAGAGTTCGATGAAAATGGACAGCATCTTCTTGATTTAAGTAGGTTGGTGTGAGGTCACATCCACCACCAAACCACCACTGCTTGTTACCTACACAAACCAAGACGTGGATTCAGTGTGGACTTTGACATTCAGGATACTATTAATTATATCTGCAAACTTAATACAGCAGCTTAACTAAGTATGAGATAGGTGCCATTTAACTGAATTTAGCTCTGAAGGTCACTGAGGTATTAACTGAAAAGAGATAAATGCACAAAGAAATGGAAGTAGCAAATTAAAGAGAAGTAATAGAACCAGATAGAGAAATGATACTCAAGGTAATAAATGATACACCATATAGGTAATGCAGGCAGTGAATCTCAAAGCTGGATGTATAATGAAATCATATGAGGACCTTAAATACATCTACTAGATCACAACTTTATAAAGCAAATTTCTGGCCTAGGCATGTGTAGTTTGCAAAAACTCCCCAGGAGATTCTGATGTTGCCAATAATACAAAGCACCGCCACCCTTCTATCTTGCCCGTAAAGGATGAAAACATTTGCTGAGAGAGGAACCTACCACTTGAGAATAACTATTTTGTGTGCTTACTGTAGTCTGAGTTGTCAATACCAGTTACCAACATTTTCAGGGGCTGAGAATTGAACCCAGGACCTTCTGCATGGGAAGTGCACAGTCTATCACTGACCTATACCCTGAACCAGTCACCAACTTTTAAACATTAGGAGCTGAACCAAACTGAAAGTCTGCAAAATGAAAAATTAAGCACTGACTCTATATGTCATCATCTGCAGAGACACTAACAGTAGTAGCAATGGCACTGCACAGAGGCTCTGACGAGTGGTAACAGAAGGTTTTGCCGATGGAAGACACAGACTGGAACGACATGCACATGAGGCACGATCAACTGCATAAAGCATGGTGACCAGCAAAGCTAAGAATGCACAGGCTATTTTCCAAAATCAAGTTCACAGTTTCAACTCATATGTGATGCTTTCTTTCAGATATAATGAACCCTGTGTACATTCTGAACACTGGGTTCATTAGTTGATTCCTTCTGTGTTGGACGAAGGTCAAATTTAATGAATATGTATTCTTATTTTTCATTTGTACTGCATAAGCCATTGAATCTGCCAAGGAATAAGCCCTCATACGCCTCCTTCAGAAGAGCTGCGGTCTTCACTTTCAGCTTGGTCAACTCCTGGCTTCTGGTGCAGACTGTTCAGCTTCTGCCTGGGACTCTTCAGCCTTCTGGTGTAGGCTCTCTGGCCTTCGTCGTAGATTCCTCAGCATTCCGCTGCAGACCCATCAGTCTCCTGACTGAGCCCCAGGCCTGGGGATGGGCTCTTCAGTCTCCAGCGTGTAGACACCCTCTGCACACTTCCTCATCCAACTCTGTAGCTGACCACTGTAAACCAAACTTGTAATTTCTTGTACATTTGTATATCTTGTGTTGTATCTGTTTCTCTAGTAAACCCTGACTGATACAGAAATTGGTACCAGAGAAGTAGGGTCATTGCTGTGACTATACCTGACCATGTGGTTCAAGAGCCTTTGGAAATGACTTGTAGGAAGAGTTTGAAAAGGTTCGGAGATGTCACCTGAAAGAGAAGCACTAGAACAACTTCCCCTGTTCCGTATGGGAGATTCAGGTCAGAGCTCAGAAGACCAGAAGGCTGACAGAAATCCTGCCAGTAAAGACCAGGCTCAGGAGGTTTCTGCTGGGAAGGACTGCACTGGGTGCCGGAATCCAGACGATGTATGTTATGGCTTGGCAGAAAGTTTGTCTGTATTTTGCTCGTGTCCAGACTTTGCCTAAGACTGAGATTACGGGCAGTAGACTAATTAATCAGGCAAAAGAAATTTCAAGGCAGTTGAATGTTGGGGCAGTGGCATGGCTATTGTTGGGGGCTTTTAGCCAGATTTATGTTGAGAATCAAGAGCAAAGAGCCCAGCAGGATGATTTAAAATGTGAGTTTGGTCAGAAAGGAAGCTCCAGTAAAGCTGGGGACTGCAAAGGCTGAGGAGATCTCTATTGCTGAGAAGGAACAGGAGAATAGAAAAGATGGCTGAGGGCATCACAAAAAGCAGCAAGTCTCCACCCTTTGCAGCCTCAAAACTGCAGAGGTGAAAGACCTTGCCTTGAGAAGAAAGCTGCCGAGCACCATGTTCCAGAACAGCAGCAGTGGCGGCAAAGAAAATCTGCTCCTCAGAATTGGATTCAGAGTGCCCAGCGATCCAGGCACTCAACCCCTATGGCCAAGAGAGAGGAAAGCTTGGCTACTGCTCCAGGTGGCAGCAGACCTTGGCATCATCCCCGTGGCCCTGGCTTTAGGTTCGTGGAGAATGCAAGAGTTCTGAGGTTAAAGAGGCTTCCACCCAGATTTCAGAAGGCCTGGGAGGCCAGGCAGTGTGCCCCTGAGGGGGCAGTGTGTGAGGCTGTGAGTGTGAAGCAAAAGGTGCCCTGGAGACCTTAGAAGTTTGGAAAAGCCGGGACCGTGGATTGTCTGAGGAAAGCAGCAAGGAAGGAGCAAAGCGGGCCTAAGAGAAGCCATGGGAGCTATAACCACCAGAAGTGCCATAGGGGTGGACTCATGCAAGCCCTCTGAAGCTCACAACGTGCCACAAGTTGCTTCAGATGCCGCACATCGAACTACAGGACATAATGTTAGCCCTGCTGGGTTTTGGACTTGCTTTGGTCCCATTCCTTTGTAGTACCCTGTTTGTAATTTTTGGATGAAATGCTTATTTTGTGCCACTTAATGTTGGAAGTGTCTAACTTTTCATTTGTACAAGGGCTTGCAACTAAGAGTTTGCCTTACATCTTGGAGGAGACTTGGGACTTGGACTTTTCAGCAGCGCTGAAACTGTTCGGACTTTGGCAACTCTTGCAGATGGACTAAATGCCTCTTCCATAAAGGGATGAGCCTGAGTCCTTGGGGTGAGAAATGGTATGGCTCTAATGTAATATAATGTCTTTATATCTGGAAACTGGTTTAAAGAAATGTGTCTGGTTGCCAAGTTGACAAGGGGTGGCTTGTTATGGTTGATACACTGTGCCAACTTAGGCAGTCTAGAGGTTTGGCTAAATGACTCAGCAGTTCTGCATCTTGGGGTGAAAAGGTCATGTCCTGACCCTTCTGGGATGTTGTTCATTGGGTCAATTTGAGAAGTTCAGAAGGTTAACTATGTGACTCAGCAGGGAGCCAGGGTGTCACTGTGTATCCATCCTGAGCCTGTGCAAGAGGAGGGCATGGAGATTATATGAGCGCTATACGCCCCGCTATACGCCCCCCGGGTGGGGGTAGCCTGCCTACTATGTAAGGGAGGGAAAGAGGCTTGCTCTTCTCTGCCACACCTCCCTTGTGCTCTTGTTGCTTTGCTGTTCCCAGCCATGAACT